TAAATGAATAAATTTTGTTAATTTTTTCAAACTTCTCTTTGAACTGTACAATTTTAAATGTCGATAGATGCAATTAATCTTGATATCAAGGACACTTGTCAAGAAATTTTCTCTCCGACCCAATATGATCATTTCTATATGAATGAGATTTTATCTTTCCTTCAGTCGACATTTTACGGGAAGACACCACCGAAGCGGAGCCGCTGAAATTAGGAAGAATCGCTATAAAGTTGCCGTTACCGCCCGGGTGTGCGTCGACACTTTATCAAGCAGATGAGAAATTCGAACAAATTTACTTCTCCACGTATCCGGTGGGTCCCTAATTTTTATCACCATCGTCGCACTCTTCTTTATGATTAAATCACGACTTCCTATTTCTTTAAACGACAGGGTTACTACAACACAATGGACGTTGGATACAAAGACGAATTCGGTTGCGTTTATGTGATGGCCCGCGACGATGACATTATCAATGTTGCTGGTCACAGATTGTCGACAGCCGCTTTGGAAGATATCGTGATGGGCCACCCCGACGTCGCAGATGCTGCCGTGGTCGGTGTACCAGATCCGACCAAAGGCGAGGTACCTTTGTGTCTCTACGTAATGATGCTAGGTAAGAATCAATAAATAGGTGAATTCTAATTCATGAGACAGCAAGATTGTATTTTCGTGTTTCGTAGAAGCGACGAAGAACGAGGAAGAGATTAACGAGGAACTGATAACGCGAGTAAGAAACATGATGGGTGCCATAGCATCGTTTAGAATAGCCGCGGCTGTCAAGGCTTTACCCCGGACGCGGTCGGGGAAAATTGTTCGAAAGTCTATCGCCGAGTTGGCCCGTTCGAAGCTAGTTAAGGTAAAGATAAAATGCACGGCGAATGGAATTTTTATAAATTCCTGCATCATTTACTGAGCGCTAGTTCATTCTTCTAGATTTCAAGTTCGATTGAAGACCCGTCGGTGTATCGTGAAATCAAACACGTACTGCAGAAGCTCGGTTATGCTAAACTAGCTCCGGATCCTCAATGATCAATTTCTGCAGTTTTTTTTTACATTTGATAGTCGTGTGTGTATTAGATGTAATAAATTTACGCACGTTGTACAAATTGATACGCGCGAAGGAAAGAAGATCCGTCGATGCCGTCGAGCGATTAAAATTAACTGTACTTTAGAAGGGGATGGGAGGTTGTCTAAATAACGAATGAAATCAAAATTCGTCTCGCGGTCTCACCGTAAGATCTTTGCTGTAACTATTATTTTAATTAAACGACAAATATATATTTCATATGAAAAAGAAATTAGGTTTTCTACATTTTTCTAATAACGCAGGAAACAGTGCAATTTTCTTTTAACGACACGTTCCCCTTTTCACGTTCTGATTAGTAAAATTATGGTGAATGAAAACAAAGAAGAAGAGCAAAACGTATTAGCACTTATTTTTTTAATGTTCCCATTGTAATATTATTATTAACAATTTAAAAAAATATAACAACCATAAAACGGACTTTACCGAACGATCTGCAGGAACAAAATTAATTAATCGTACGTCTCTTGTTAGTAAGCAGGTCTGGTATAAAAAATACGTGAAATAAAAAGGTAACAATAATAAATGTGAGGTGTAAAGAGTGAGAAGAATACAGGACACGAAATAGATCCAGTTTTAGTACCCGTCGGAGTCAGACAGCAGAAGCAAAAAAAAAAAGAAGCAGTATAATACATGTAAAGAAAGCACTCACAGAATGTCTGCTTTGAAAATTCTCTATATTAACTTCCTTTTTTTCGGTTAAATCTCGACATTAATTTTTCGCTTTGTATCGCATATAACACTATAAATCATCGAAACCCTTTCTCTTTTCCTGGAGAAGCACAAGTGTAAGAGTATTTGGTGTTAATAAACACGTATTACATCGATACAATAGACGAACCTTGGCGCCAGTCAAAAGACACCGATCGTAATTAACAGAAACAGTACGTGCAAGAAAAAACAAATCAACCATACACATGAAACTCTTTTATCTAAAATTAGTAGAGCACATTTTTGTTGCAAATTTGTTTTTAATGACAATCGTAATAAGAAACAGTATAATAATAATAATAATAATATTAATAATAATATTAATTTTATAATTATAAATTGTTGTGTAGCATTAGCTGGCTGATTTTTAATAAATTTTCTTTTTTCTCTCGTTTTATGTCTTCGTTTCTTACCACCGATTTTTAATAATAATTATTCAATAATCATTATAATAATATTAATAATATTTTTCCTTATTCTTTATCTGGTAATCGGTATTCTCGGTATCGGATTTTCTTCTTTACGCGTTCATTAATGTCTCGCACCTCAGAGGAATAAAAATATCGTGTTTTACAATATTTAAGGAGACTCATCTCGCCATTTGATCTTCCCTTTTCTTTAAATTTTTGTAATCAACTCAATGTGAGTGCTGTCTGTTCGGCTTATCTATTTAGAAGGAACACGCGCTCTTGAGTTTATTAATTCTCAGTGGTTTTGTCTCCTTATCTATATAATCAAATCTATTTGCTTTTTTTATTTCATGTTATAAATACCCTCCCACCCCCCTTCCCCCATAAACCCCATAACCCCGGCCCAACTGTCTGTGCATACGATGTATGTGCTTTTCTTTCATGTAGAACTTTTTTTTCGTTTGCCTCGTGTGTAAAAGATGAGTGTATGTTACATTAACAGTAGTTCGCGAGTAAATCACGCTAGTTCCGTTTTTTTCTCGTGCGTACTGTGTTCGGCTTGCGTCTCTTGCGTTATCAAAATTGATTATTATCCCAATCTGCGGTCACAGTTGAGCAACTTTATTCCACCACTTTCAGCACCTTACCAATTGCAATAGTCTTATCTGGAAAATGCAAGAACGAACCGGATAAAGCCAAATCATCGATAAACACGAAATCGTAATCGCTCGAGTGAGAAGCGATAAAGTCAACTGAGTCGAGAATACTGTGAAAAATTCAGCGCTACGCTTCGTACTTACTTTCATCCCTAAGGGTGAAACGTCCCATCTGTGGAAATAGCTTAAATCTTTCAAGGCATATGACACCAGCGCATTCGATTCTCATTATTGCCACTTGATCCTGTTTGACGAACCTCGGCCTGGTTTTACTCTTGTCCCCCGTCTTCTTGTCGACCAGACAAATCAGCGCTTTCACTCTGACCTCTTCCGCAGCGCAGTGAATATGCATTACTGCACTATACCCAGCACAGATAATGCTCTTATGCTCCAAAATAACAACTTGAGCGTCAAACACTTTCCCCGTTTTGATCGGGTTGTTGCTATCGCACAGAACGAATCCGGGGCTCACGTCCTCTTCCTCGATACCTTTCAACTTAATCTTCACATTCTCTCCTGGTCCTACAGAGGTCACTTCTTCGTCGTCCGACCAAAGTTGATCCACCGTTACTGCCGTCTAACAATATGAAGATTGGCAATTGAACTATGAGATCGAACATAATAGAAAGATGTTTCACTCGAGAGTAAAAGATGTATACCCTATTAGGCATAACGAGCAGCGACTGTCCTTTCTTTGCTTCTCCGGCTTCGACCTTCCCCATTACCACTGTTCCCATATCCTTGTACTTGTCGACGATTGGCATTATGAAAGGTCCGTTATTCTTACGATTAAGTGAAGGTAGAGAGTCGATGAAGGATATGAACGGTGGTCCAGTATACCACGTGCAAAGATGTTCCGGTATCGGATCTTTCAAGCCATACCCGAGCTGCCCCGAAACCGGCATGAATGTGAGGTCCTTTGCGGGGTTGAACCCCAGTTTACGAAGGTATGGCAGTATTTTATCCCTGGAGAACAAAACGATCAACTTCGTAACATCGACAACTACAATCACCGCGAACGATTCGTGATCGTGTCAATATGTACCTGCACTCATTGTATCTTTTCTCGTCCCACTCCACGGTCGGGTCATCCATTTTATTCACTAGCACAACCAGGTGTTTGACACCAGCAGTTTTGGCCAGCATAGCATGTTCTCTCGTTTGGCCGCCCCTATCGAAACCGGTCTCGAACTCTCCTTTTCGCGCGGAAATAACTAACACCGCTAAATCAGCCTGTGCCGCTCCACCGATCATGTTAGGTACAAAACTCTTATGACCGGGTGCATCTAAAATCGTGAAATGCTTTCGTTCAGTTTCGAAGTATGCTCTACCAACTTCCACCGTTTTCCCTTTCTCCCGTTCCTCCTGGTTCGTGTCCAACGCCCAACTCAAGTACCACGTTTCTCTACTTCTTTCTTTCGCTTCCCTTTCGTACTTTTCTAGGGTTCTCTTATCGACCATCCCTGTCAGCGCCATAATTTGACCGCCGATCGTTGATTTCCCCGCGTCTGTAAAACGAAATTAACACTCACTCGTTCGCTCGTCGTAGGCATCTATTCGATTCTTTGTAATATTACGTACCAACATGCCCTATAAAAACAACATTAACGTGCTCCTTTTTACTCTTAGTATCCTCCGTCACTTTAACAGGCTTTTTTTTAGGTACTTTAACAACCATCTCTTCGTCCTCTTCAATCTCAGCCTAAAAACAAAAATCCAGATAATCAGAGGTAATCTCCCGTCAGCGTTAATACCGCTATAAATTCAACGTACTTCTTCATTTTCGGGAGTTAAGAGAGGATCCCCATCTACTGCTGCTTCTTCCCAAGAATCAGCTGGTTGATGTTCAGGACTGATATCCATTTGATCTGTAACATTAGGAGGTGGAGCCCCTCCCCCAGCAGGTGGTTCCTCCACGCGGCTACCCACTGGATCTGGTAAAACCACTGGATTAGTATTGCCTGCAATGAACACACGTGCACTTGAAATATAAGAATCCTTGTACAAGAATCAAATTTTTATTAATAACTTGGAACAGAATCAACAGTGGTATTTGTAATTCACAGTGCTCCTTTAAAGTGTATCACACTAACTTACATAATCAACTTTCTCTGGCCACACTGTTCATGAGACAGTCTTATTCTAAATTATTTCTCATTAGGGTAATATCAGATCGGTACAAAAACACTTTTATCTCTAACATCGTACAATAAATCAAGACTATATATTTTAATATATATAACTCCTAACTTCACGCTTTTAATTACAAGAATAAATCACTTGAATTTAGTATTAATTTAACCATTGCATAATGTTATCATGTGAAACATACATATACGTATAATGCTCGGACACATTCTTATCATCTGTTGTCTTAAAAGGAAAACAGATGACCAGTAATGTATAAACTCGATAAATATTTTATTTAATCATTTCTCAATTCGTTTCGATGAAGACCATGTGAGATTGGAAACAATGTGAGAGCAACATGAGAAGGGTTAGACGTAACCGTGGTATTGCGGACAAATTCCAGTGACCAGATTGTTAATCCTATTCTTCGGCAGATTGGCACTCTCTCTATTATTGGTAAACGACAAAGTTCATGGTTAATCGAGATTTATCTCAAAACTAACCATGATGTATTTCTGGTGGCATAGAGGTGGTCACAGCATTCATCATGACAGCGACATTGCAGGAACTGTCGGCCGTGTTACTGTTCTGCGGCGAGGAGTTGATGCAGAATGAAGGCACGAATTCCGCAGCGTTCACGTTCAGGGTGGAGAATTTGCTCTCGATGGATTTATCCTGAGGCGGACCGATGTCTCCGTTATCCGCCTGCTGTTCCCACGAATCTGGTGCTACACTGTTCGCCATATTTATTAAGAGTTCGGTAGTCGAGCCGGCCTCGTGGTTTAATCGAACACGTTGATCACGCTACGCTACGTGCAGGGCCTCGATCACGAACCTCAATCAGGATCGAGACGGGGTTTTAAAAAAATAATTATTTACGATATATTATTTCGCCGCGCACACCGTACACGCGTATCGGTACCCCGCGTGCGACCCCCGTGGTCTGTTTCGTTGTTCTACTTCGCCGGAACTGCAAACATCAAAACACCAACTTTCAACTCGAGAACGTTCTCTTCCCTGAAAACACGCGTGCACACGACGAATTTCTCGAGCACCGAACACCGTCAGAACGAAAACCGATTGATAAACGCAGTTAAAACCGTTTGACCGTCGCAACGTGTGACATTCTAATTTTTCTTACGAATCTGATTTTCGTGCGTGGAAAAAATTTCTAGTCGGATGATTATGTTGGCACCGCGACATTCGGCCGCAACCAAAAATGATTCATTGTCAGTGGAAGTTTCCAAGAAAAATATGTATGAACGTGGTGGAAAAAGACACCTACTTTTAATTGCATCGCGTTTCCCTGCAAAGGCGATGCTATTTTTCTGTGCATCTCTCTTTGACTTTTCGGCTAGACTGCAATTACTTGCGTGTTTCGTGTATTGTACATATACACACTAAACCTCTTACGTGTGGTATCATATACACTGTACACGTTTGTATGCACTACACAAATTTTCACGTCACATTCAACACAAAAAGAAATAATTAGCTAAAGAAATTTCGTCACTCTCACGTTTCATTATGTACGTAAACACTTAAATGCGTATGTGTATATATTTATTAATTCTCATATTCTTAGTCGACGATGTACAAAAATAGTGAAAAACAAAGCATTCGAAAAAAGAAGAAATATGCATATGTACAGTGAACTTAATGTTTCCTTTTTCTCTTCTCTCTTCTTCTACTCGCTCCACTTTTCGTGTTATCGTTCAACGACTTCTCCGTTTCTACTTTCCGTTTCGTCACTTCTTTCGCACGTTCTTCTGACATAATTTTACAAGATTCCTCGGTCGCTGCAGGTAGACTGAAATTTGGGATCTATCCCAACCAACAGTATTTCATTAAAAAGCACATGTAAAAATAGTTTAATGTAACAATGATTTTTTAACTCACGAATGGCTTGACAAGTTTAAGTATTAACTTCTCGTGTTGCACGTTAGATCTATCTAAGCTTATTTGTACTACAACAGGATCGAAAGCGTGGAACACAACATTCCCACAAGTTTGCGAATGATCCTCGCCATTGTACGTGAACGTAACAGACGATTCCTTCTTTTCGTTCAAATACAAAGTGCCCTCTAATCCATATTTCGGGATCAATATTTGTAGCGCATTTTTCCGTACAAACAGTATATACCCTTCCTCGTCCTGAATTTTTTCTCTAAAGAACAACTAAAGGAAAAAATGAGACGTTATAATAATAAATATATACACGATTGAAGAAAAAAATGATAATGATAAAATACAAACATGTGTATTTAATGCAACTGATGCTCGATCAGCATGCTGAGCCATTCTATTGCGATAATTCAGATTTTGACAAAGTGCCTCGCTTTTCTTTTTATCTAACAATTCGGGATAAGTCGCGTCAGCTCCGATGCAAACTGCCAACAAGCGATGAACCATCACGTCTGCGTATCTACAGAATTAAGTAAATAAATAGATTAACTCGTTTAGTTTGTTACAGAAAATATTAATTTACCTTCGAATAGGTGATGTAAAATGAGTATAAATGGGACAGGCTAAACCATAATGGTAATATTCACTCGGTTGATGCATTCCACTAATAAAATACACAGCTTGCATCATACAACGTGTAGCAAGTATTCTTAACATGGTATTGAAGTATGGGTTGCCTTCTTTATGACAATTGTCCAACGATTGTGCTAATTCCTTGCCGCTGTTGGCATTGATAATAAAGCCCTGTTAAAGAAATAATTTATTCTCTGCACTCTTATTCTCCTTCAATTGAATTGAAATATTTTTTCATAAGTTTTCTATACTTGATTTTTGCCGGCCTTTATGAGAGGCTCGAAATTAGCAGGTGGTGGTTCAGGATGCCTCCTCAATACTGCACATTCTGGAAATTCATTTACAATCTTCTTCGCGACTGAAATATTTGCGAGCAACATAAATTCTTCGACCATCGAATTAGTTTCTCGCAATTGTTTAGCCTGCACATCAATAGGATCGTGGGTTTCACTGTCGACTTGAAAACGAATTTCCGGAGACGCCAACACTAGTGCGCTGTAATAAAAAATGATTGTATTATTTCGATTCAAATCCCCGTAAGAAAACTTTACGTACCCATTTTCTAAACGTCTTTTCTTCAATGTCTTCGCCAAACCATTAAGGAGCCTCAACGACTTTGCGAGTGCATCGTGCTGCAACGGATCGTCGATCTTCAATTGTGCTTCGTCGTACGTCATCGCTGCTCGCGAAAAAATCACGGATTTGCAATATCTAGTGTTAATTATGTTCGCTTCTCTGTCCATTTCCCAGATACAAGAAAATGCAAATCTATCCTCGTTCTTTATCAGAGAGCAAAGATTCGAGCTAAGCAAGTCTGCGAACATAGCGAACGTTATTTCATCATGAAATTAAATCTTGTGGGACGAAAGTAGAACCTCAATAATTCGTACCAGGAAGCATGTGTATCCTCGTATCAACCAAATACACAGTCGTAGCTCGCAACGCTGCTTCCTTATCTAACGCTGTTCCTGGCCTAATGAAATGCGTTACATCTGCTATGTGTACACCGACTTCGAGATTACCATTCGGTAGTTCCCTACAATGAAGCGCGTCGTCTATATCTGTGCATCCTGGTGGATCGACAGAACATACATCTAGATGTCTTAAATCTTCCCTCTGTGCCATGTCCTTGAAATTATACAGTTAATTTGAAACATCCCTGGAAAAGAAATCACTATTTCTCGCAAGTTCCTACGTACTAAGTCTGTGATGCGCCATGGCATTTTCGGTAGCGAACTAAGGACAGCGTCAGAGAACCGGCTATGAGGAATATCGTGTTCCAATAATATCACTTCGTTTTCTGTAAGCTTGTCTCCTATTTCGCCTAACGCGCGCACGAAGTGACCGAGAGGATATCTGGAGTTACGTGGCCACGAATCAATGGCCACGATAATCCTCTGCTTGCTTAAAATGGCGTACTGTCTAGTCTCGATTCTTATTTTCGGTATTTTTCGCTCGGCTGGGACGAATATATGTCGTACATTCTAAATAAATGGGAATATTCTGTAAAATATATATTTGTAGGAACTAAATGTAGCAGATTCTTAGATCTCTTACTCCTTCTATGTTACTAGGCTGCAATATTCCACAATATTGCCTCCAGTTTCTTCTGATAATACCGACGACCTTGCCAGTCGGTGTTTTCTCCATCTTATCCGATGAAACGAACTTATCTAACACTTTTTCAGTCTCTAAAACATCATCGACGTCTGCTTCTTCTTCATCTTGCAGTATGATGTCACTGGGAGACGACCACTGATCTTCTGCTAACAGCTGTATAGCCACTGTATCACCATCAACAACTCTGTTGAGATTACTACGGCCTTGGATCAAAATCTGCAACGAGATATATGTATATATATAGGCATAGACAGAAAGAAATATAAAAAATAAATACTCACGGATTTTTCAACTCCATCTACGTTCACGAATCCTTCCAGGAAATTTTCTCGAGAAGCTTGGAATGTTCCTTGCAAGAATCTGCCACCTTTTATGCCATCGTGTATTTCAGATGGCGTGAGATGACACGGGAAAAATTCTTGACCACCAGTCTCAGCGGTGTAACTTTTTTTGCACAGTTTATCGGTCAAGAAACCAGCGTTGTCTAACGACAAAATATAATCTTCCACTGCAAAATAACACCGGTATAGCTGAAAGTTGCACTTCACTTGAAGATATTAAGCGAACTACCTTACTTGAAACAGCTAGAATGCCTTCAGCTCCTGCTAATTCTCTGTTCTTGGCATCGTCTGTTAATAGCACTGTCTTGATACTACAATCACTTGCATTCAGATGCTGATTATACCACTTCGTTGCAACTCTAATTGCTCTATCGTTTCTATCGTTTGTGCTTTCACCAGGATTTCTTTCAATATAAGTGTCTCTGTCAAAAGTGACAGAAATCGATTGTCAATAAGTTACATAACAAAGGGTGTATATATAAATAAAATAGTTATAACATACTTGTGATGCTCATTAACAAACACATAAAACTTTCTTTGCGTATTACTGATAATATCCTTCAATTTTTTGTACACCGTAGAACTCTTATGCTTCACTTCTTCAAGCACTGTTTGCAAAATTATTACATTGCAAATAATACTTTCTTCCAGAATATCAATCTAAAATTGTGCTCACATATATTTAAGCCATGTAAAAAATAAAAAGAAATATACCTGAAAAACAGTTCTGCTAATTTAGTGGAATCACTCGAATTTTCACTCACTTGGTCTAAGATGATATTCGTATCCAATAACAAATAATAATGTCCCATTATTTTAGAGCTCTTTACACTCGATTCATTACTATCCAAAATTACATTTCGTGTTTTATAAGGACATTTGTCACAGGATTTAGAGCCACAATGAATATCATCTCTAAGGTAATGTTCCCTGACAGTCTAAAGAAGTTAAAACTCGTATCAATTTCAACATTACATTTCGTTTAACTATATGTTATATATGGAATATTGTAAACCAGAGCGTTTATATAATTTATATATATTGTTCACTTTGAGTCATGAAATATTAAATAATTTTCATTGTGTCTACGATACCTTAAACACATTTCCTCCTTTAGTTTTCCGAAAGAATACTTTTGTCGTCAACATCTTGAATCCACTGCTTACGATAATCAAATAAATATCAAAGTATTCTCCCGCTAAAAAAATAGCAATGAAATGTTAATTTAAATTCGTATACCTAACCAATTCTTGTCAATAAAACATTTCATTACATGTGCAACACAAGTGGTGGAGTGAATTCACTCGTATTTACTCTAGTTCACTCGATAAAGGAAATGAGAGTGTTCACGTCCGGAATTTCGTGATTCCCGTACAAGTGCTCCACCAACAGGCCAACTCTCGAAAAGTGCGCAATACACTACCTATACACTATGTACCATACCATATCCATTATATCCAATCCAGTATTTTATACATAGTGGGAAATCTGCAACGGGCCGGCTTCATACAGAATTTAACAACAGGTTATAATGATAAAGTTGCAAGTATTTTTTTGTTAAAAGCGAGGAGAAACAACAGAACACTATGGCTAAAATAGCAGAGTCGTTGAAAAAATTAAGCGTCGAGCACGATACGCGGAAGCAGAATCACGTTCGAACCGTCCAAAGGAGAAGCGAATTAATTTCGTCAATAGAGGAACCGGCGTCGGTTGACAATAATTACATTCTGGCCGTATGCGGTACGCAAAGGTAAACGCTTGCTTTTTCCCTGCACGATTTAGTATTGGATTACGTACATATCAGACATTTTTACACAGCGATCCAGAGTTCAGAATTACTGCTGCTTTGTCGGATCATACGTGCGCCGTATATTCCGTTGGGGAAAGTTTGAGTCGGACAATCACTCTGACTCACAATCAAGCACCTATCGTTGGTATTAGGTTCAGTCCTACTTCCAGAAATATTCTGTACACGGCAACAAACGATGGGCTTGTTACAGCGTGCGATTTACGAGCTAAAGGCAAAGTCGTTGCCGAGTTTAAAGGTCTGCATCAACGATCAATGGATTTATCTGAAAACGTGTATCGTATTTCACGTGTTGCTGCCATTTTATTCACAGACAGTACGGAGGATGGAAAAATGAAACCTCTTTGCAGTTTCGATATCAGTTGCGACGAGAAACTCGTAGCGGGTGGCACGGAACACATAGGCGGAGATGCGTTTATTTTGTTTTGGGATACTCGGTATACCGGTACCAAATTGGACAATAAGAATAACAATCTCCTTGGAGGATACTGGGAATCTCACATGGAAGATGTCACCTCACTGTCGTTTCATCCTAGTAAGCAGGATATCTTAGCGTCCGGTAGTACGGACGGATTGATTAATATCTTTGACCTCACTCAGCCGTCCGAAGATTCTGCGTTAACGTACTCGTTGAACACCGAGTCGTTCGTGGTGAGTTTCTATTTCGGACAAAAATTTAAATGAACGTACAGAAAGGGAGCATACACAATTTATACGTTTCGACTGAAAAAAAGGACAGGATAGGCTGGCTGGCAGAAGACAGTCTCTGGTGTACGACTCAACACAATTCTCTACAGCTCTGGGATTGCGACGAAGTCACTCCATATGCTAAATTCGAACGCGGTACATTAGCACTTTTCCAGGTTCGTACAGCGGATGCGAGTAATTTATATAGTTTTATGAACACTGGCTTGGTATCTCTAAAGAGGATTTTATTTACTGTCATCTCATTAGAACGACGATCCAGATGATTGTTACATAGTTAAAGTCCACGCTTCAAACGCGTTCGGACAGCCATTCCTCTTGTCGGGTCTCAGCGGCGTTAAAGGGTAAATTGATAACAAAACGAATCCAGATCATACGAAAGTGAATGTTACAAATCGAAAACTTTCAGGGAAACTTTGAGATGTTTGACCATCGCGAATGACCGATTGGAAACGTGTTATAACATGGTAGGAAATAAGCAAACAGTACGCGACAGTTGGTTACACGAGAAGGTAGGATGACAATGATAATATTTAACGCAATAATATTTAAATCGAGTTAACGAACGGCACAGAAATATTATTTGAATATTTGCAGAGTCGGTGTTTAATAACGGTAGGCGAGGGAGGACTTATAAACGTTTGGAGGCAAACAGAAAACATGCTCACGCAGGAAAATCCGAGTCACAAATTGGTGTCAAAAATCGGTACCGGCAAGGGACGCGATCGACAGCATAGGCCCAAGCCGTATTAGATATTAAAATAAGAGACGAACAGGGTATT